TACAATATAAAAAAATTGTAGCATATATAACAAAATAATATTCAAGTTAAAATGTAAATCAATAACACAACTAATTTTTCACATAATTAAAAAACATCTAAAAGCAACATTGTTGAAAATACAATTAGGTTGCAAATATGCTCGTAATATTTTTTACCATAGAAAAATTTAATACTGTAGCTCATTCACATTTTTAAACGAATTTTAATTAAAGTCATCAGCTTTTATGCGTCCTGTAAAAATTAACTAACGTTAAGTACTTTGTATGAATATACGGGCACACGCAGTAAACAAAGTAACAAAATGTTTTACGTTTTGAATAGTTTTAAAGAATACAAAAAGTACAATTATTTGTTGATCAAATTAACTATTCAATCCAAGTGCGTTTGTTATTCCATTTTCTTAGCATTATTTTTCAGAAAAAAATTTACTAAAAAAACAAAAGCTGTTTGTGAAAAGTTATACCTTACATTTTAATCGACCTGAAAAAACAAAATAACAAAAACCTGGGAAACCAAAATATATATTTTGCAAAATAATAAAAAATCGCTGTGAATAAAGCATGCAAATTTTATTTTTCAGTTACAACTAAAATGAAAATTGAACCATTTTGATTATACATATTAATTAAAAGAAATAAAATTTTTGTTAAATATAAGACATCACAATCTACTTAAAAAAAATCTTGGAAATTTATATGGTTTTTATACCGATGTTATAAATTTACAAAACTTAAGATAATAAGAAAAAAATATTTCAATTTTATTATTCTTGTGCAGAAGGGCGTAAAAATCAATTTCCCCCAATATCTAAGGGTCATAAATATTCTATATTTTCTACTTGAATGCGTAAAATCTTCCGGTTTTCGTCTTTACTGCTCTATATTGTTTTCATATATCTCTGATAAAACATCTGGCCAATAATTTCTAATTGTAATTTTAATATTCTGGTTTTAATTTTTACTCCAAATAATATAATAATAAATACAAACAAATACATACAAGGTGTCCCAGCCAGTTGAAAAAGTCCATTAGTGACCTATAAATGGTAAAATTAAAAAAAATGTATAGGACATTGATAGATACTAATCTATGTAAAATTATTTTCAATTATACAGCGTGTCCCAAAAATACTTACAAACTTGTGTTTTTTTAAATGAAACACCATATGCTAGATAAAAAAATTTCTTACTTCTGCAAAGAAAAAAAGTACAAAATTAAAAACTGTAGCAATTTTAAAAGTAATAATTTTAGAAAGACAATTTAATAATCTTTTTAACGCAAAAATAATAAATAGGGTGTTCCATTAATTTTTTTTAAGTTATTGAACTTTTACCAAACGCCTCAGTTTTTTTATCAAAGCAAATGCAACACACTAAAATGTTACAACCTTATAGCTTGTACCTTCTTCTTTGAGGTAGTAAAAAATATTTCTACATGTCTTAGTTTTTTATGTAGTATATTTTTAAAAAGTGCATTTTTTCGTCAAAAAAAAACGTTTTATTTGTAAAACTAAGCAAAATCGACCAATAAAAGTTTAGCTTAAAAAATTCTTAAAAACACTAAGAAACGTATGGTGTTTCATATAAGAAAACACTAGTTTGTATTGTAACTTATTTTTGAGACACGTTGTATAGTTGAAAATAATTTTAACCGATAGACTAGATTAGTATCTATCAATGTCCTATATATTTTTTTTAATTTTACTATTTATAGATCACTAATGAACTTTGAAAACTAGTGTGAAAACACTAGTTTGTATTGTAACTTATTTTTGAGACACGTTGTATAGTTGAAAATAATTTTAAGCGATAGACTAGATTAGTATCTATCAATGTCCTATATATTTTTTTTAATTTTACTATTTAGAAATCACTAATGAACTTTGCCAATTCACTGGGACACCTGTGTAATAATAAATTGACATCATCTGATTTTAATCAAAGTGAATCAAAAGCTTCGATAAGTTTTTTGGACTTTTAATTTTTAATTTCACTATATTTTTTTTTACTCCTTGACTTTTGTTTGATGCTTAATCACAGTTTTTTACAAATTTCATTTAGAACAAAATCTCAACTACAAACAATTAATATTTTTCAAAAAATTGTTTTTGTTTTTTGACTCGAGTTTCTAAAATTCCAATAAATATAAATTCAAATTATTACACATGAAAAACATGTGAGATAAGAGCTGCACAAAGTGAATGAAAACGAGGTTTCCCTAAAGTCCCATCCTTTGCTGCAGATCACGGCTCAGGAGCGTCTGGATAGTTTAAGCTCCGGCTGTTCCCTTTCAAATATGATCCAATACGACGATACCGACCACGACGGTAAATTGAGCATAAACGAATTCTACGTGGCTTTTAGCAAATTGTACAGTAAGTATAGGTAAAATCGCCCTTATCTGAGAGAAAAAGTGTCACTTGTCACACAGGTGTGTCGGTCGTTTCTCTGGATAAGGCGCTGGAAACGAACCGTTTGAGTGCCCGAGTGGGCGATAACGTGGAAATCAAGTGTGACGTTACCGGCTCACCTGTTCCACCGATCGTCTGGAGAAGGAATCAGTTGGACTTGTCCACTTTAAACGAAGAAGAAATACGAGTGTTCAGCGACGGCAGTCTTTATTTAACTAGAATACAACTCCAGCATGCCGGAAATTACACCTGCCATGCTCAAAGGAACAAAGACGTTGTTCAGACGCACATCCTTACTGTTCATAGTAAGTGTACGATAATTGGCCTTGGAATTGCTTAATAGTCCGAAATTTATAGCTGTGCCAGAAGTACATGTCACGCCCCGGATCCAATCGAAAAGGCCCGGAGAGGACGCGACGATGCTGTGCCATGTGGCGGGGGAGCCCTTTCCTAAGGTAAAAACTTTTCTTTTTTATTCTCCTACTTAATTATTCGGACCAAAACAGCGAATTCATCGATGAACAAAAACACGATTAGCCCGTCACACCAAACTTTTATTTAAAACACAACGCGTTTCAACCACAAAGTGGTCATCCTCAATTGTGAATAAAACTAACTAATTTAACAATAGTAATGCCTTATACAGGGTGTTTACACTCTTGGCCTAGTAATAGAAGAGTACAGAAATACTGTAACCGAGAAAAAAACTCACACAATTGTTATTATCAAGAATGTTATTTAACTCCAAAATATTGGTACACGGTTTGAGGGTCACTGGAATTATTTCCTTCTTCAGATAAAATTGTATTGTTGCAACAGATAGAAAAATCGTATATATGACAATGAAAGAGAAAAGTCACTTCATAGTTTTGACATTGTCATCATTTGATTTGCTTTTGTTTTAGTTTTTATCAAAATTCGAAGGTCTTCTGTTTTTTCTTTTTCAGCGAATGGTTTCCAATAGGTTTGATTCGTTTTTCTTAATTTTTCTCCAAATTTATGAACATGCATGGCAAAATATTAAAATAAATTGGTTGTTGTGATTATGATTTACGGTGAAACACAAGGTAATGATACTAATGGCCATTGTTGCAACCGAAGCAGCAGTTCTCAAACAAATAGTGTAAAATGATTAATTTCCTTTAACAACGTGAATTTTTGTTTTATATAGCGTATTAGTTTTCTTCTACAGTAAATATCCTCTCATTTAAATTTCAACCTCAAGACCGTAAACACCCTGTATACTAATTTTTCCGACTTTCACTTTCCCTACCCCCAACTAACGAGTAGAGGGGAGAAAAAGGAATGGGGCCGTTGTCTGAATTCATAAGATTATCTCTATTTTTAAATATTTCAAGACTTTCGAAAGCGTCAAGAAATTTACAATTATTGACTGCTCTAATTTTTACATTAGTTTCATTGATTTTATGGTCTTTTTCAAAAATATGTTGGGCCACACTTGATTTTTCAAATCTGTTATATCTTAAATGAAGAAGAAGCGAAATTATCGTTTTATCGATGAAGTTAGAAATAAATCAATATTTAACAAACAACAATTTATTCAAGGTTTATTTTTGAAGTGCTTTATAATAAATACATGAAAATAGGAGTTGCAGAAGGCATCCATTTAAGGAAGAGTTTGAAATTCCAATACGAGCTGCGTATGAATTCTTTTCAAAATTCGGGAAATTGGTAAGAATATTGAAAGCAATATATCGCAACTGTGTGTTTTGAGACAGACAAAATAGGTTACAAAAATTGTTTTTTTTTTGTGTTTTTTGTGTGAAAAAAGAACCTGTGTAGGGTCAAGAGTCTCAACAATTTTATACCATAAAAAAGTAACAAAATCTATAAATAAATATCAGTTATTATCGATTCGTAGGTCTTTTTTAATTCATTTCTATAAATACAACCATATGATTACGGTTTTATTGTTACAGAAATAAACTTTTTCAATTGTACCTTTTGAAGTAATCTAAAAATAGAACTTGCTATTTATTTATTAAGGTTGGGTAAATGCTTTGTTCAAACATGGTATTTTTATTAAATCACACGCAATAAAAGTTATAGAAGCATTTTATTTTATTTTTATTTTTTGTTTAAATATTTCAAGAATTCTTTTATTAAAACAGTAGAAGCCACTTTTTCAGAATTGGGTGGATCTAGAAGGTATTGCTTTTTGATGTTTTTTATTTAATAACAAATAATGAAATATTTGACAGAACTGATTTCAGAAAAATTCAACCTATTCAGATATACTCGTAGTAAGATTTGCGACAGAAATTCAAATCCAATTAGATGAAGCACAATCACAACACAAAATTTGAAAGCTTATGTACAAAGATATTCTTGTTTTTTAACGTCAGTTTTATTCCTAACATTATTAATGAAACTTGACATTTTCTTCGTCCTTGAATCGATTGAATGATTTGGTTGTAAAGAATACGGTTTTTAAGGACAATAGAAAGTTTTTGCGGATCGTTTAGTTTAATCCGTTAACTTTACAAGGGCGAAGGACGTATTCCGTCAAATCAAACACGTTTACGTAAATGACTTATTTGTTGATTTTTTAGCAACGCCTTTTTGTCTTAATTCGTTACACTTTTTTTACAATTTGCAAAAACTTTATAATAACATAACTTATTTAAATTTGTCCTTAAAAACCGTATTCTAGAACTAGGTCAATAATTATTAATGAATATGCTAGGTAAGATCACCAATTTTAAGTTTAAAACAAGGTTTTAAACCTTTTTTTAATTTATGGAATTTTATACACAGATAACGTATAGATCGAATTAACACGTAGGCAAAAAAAGAGGTAAATTTATAGCTTACTAAAATAAATAGATTTACAAAACTCTTTAAAAAAACTAAATCACCATCGACTTATTAATCAACATTTTTAGCTGGTTAACAATATTAAAGCTGGTTTAAAAATTATGAAAATATACTGACAATAAATAAGAACGTTAGACAAAAAATTGAAAACTTTATAAAGAAGCAATACACAGTTTCCGAATTTAAAATTCTTCCCAATTTAAATCAACATTGCCGCTCGATTTTAGGAATACAACCGGCAAAATCAAATGCTTTTGATTAAATTTAACATCGATAAAGAAAGGAATGCATTTCATATGAGTTCGTTCGGATAAACAATTTTCCAACAATATCTATTCTAAAACTATTAGTAAATTTTCAACAGCACATTACATTTTACGACTCGTTTGCAAGTTGCAGAAACTGAGAAATGGTTCAAATTTTATATCAAACTTTTGACACATCTGATACGATTGTTATAAAACAATACCGTCATCTTCAATAGATTTCAGAAACTAATTCTTTGAAAACGTGAAAATGAGCAGTTTAAGCAAGAAGCGCTGCATAGTTCTATGTTCAGTAAATACTAAAATTTTATACGTTCTAGTACACAGTCACAACAACAGTCATTTACTGCAGAAGTGGCACAACTCCAAGCAATAACACATTACTTGCATCTGTGAATCTGTATTCATTATTTATCTCATCAAAATGTAATCGAAATGTCGATTGCTCGTCAATTTGGGATTTAACACTTAAATATGCAAAGCTAAAATCCCATTCAGTCGTCGATTCCAATTTAAAAACAAAACAACAGCAGCTGCATTAAGATCATGTCATAGAGAATAAAATAAATTGAAAAGTAGATCACTTTTCTTATTTTTAACTTATCAAGCATGAATAAATTTACTAAACATCAATATTTCAGAATATGAAAATCCAAGATCTACTTTATTTTTACATTGCATATTTGTTATTGAGGTAAATAACCAAGATTTCAGCTTAAATCTTACATGTGAATAGAATTGATTTTGGTATTAAATCTTTATTGAATAGTACATCTTCATTGAATATTTGTAGTAATCAATAACTAATTTGTAACATTTTGGTAAACCACAAACAGTTCTAATATAATTATTTCATTGGTTAATGTACACTCTATTTAAATTAGACCTGTCCTACAACAGCACAATACCGCTTTTCACTTAGATATTTAGATGCTAAATGTCACATTAAATTCTCGGAGAAGTACGGGTGTTTAAAAAAAAGACAAATACTAAAACAGATACATTCAACCTAAAACTGCTACTCATTGAGACAAAATTAAAAGCTGTTATAAAATTACAAATACATTTTTTATGATGTCCAAATTTTTAATTATCATTTCTTAACACTAATTATTTTTAATGTTGTAAGAGTCGACATCTTGCCGAGCAAGTATTAACATAATGCTTATTTTATTGCAAGTTACATTCCAAAACTTGTGCAAATTGCAAGCTATATCCTCAAGATGCAACACAGAGCTCTGATTTAAGTAAATAGTTTTACACAAACACGACCACGGAAGCGATTAGATCAGTACATTGGGCACAAATTGAAATAAGATTTTCTAAGTTTAAAACAAATCTCTTTTTTTAAGACTTTTCGACCACAAATGGAATATAACATTGTTTATTTTTTTTAATTGACGAAACTTTTGATTTGATTTAAAATTCTGTATCTAAGTAATTCGGTGAATAAACAAATTAAACAAACTTTATTAAGGAAACTATGTATGATTTAATCCCCTCCACTTTCTTCATGCTTCAAAAGTACTGGCATTCAGGACAGGTTCATTTTTATCGTCAGTCGATTAAAACTTAAAAAAAAAATTGAAACCGTTTATACACGGTTTCAAGGGTTACAGCCACACTCTATATAAAGTAATAATAACTTTCATTCATTTCAACAATAAAAAAAAGTTAACTTTTTTTTATCAAACTTAAACCGAACGTTTTTTGTAACTTGGTAGTTTGATGAGATAGATATGTAGTATAGATTGTATTTTTAACAGACAATATAAAAAATCATAACAGAATACCTTATGTATGAAAAATTATACTTACACTTATTAACAATATAAACTAGTCAAAACGAAAAAGAGCCACTTCTTATGTCATTAAATTTTATTTGTGAGATTAAGTAAGGCTAGCGACCACCGACTAATCTAATAATTAAACACACAATACAACAACATTTACTACTAAAGTACAATCTAAAATAAACATAGAAACAAGAATTCTTATTAAAAAAATATTATCTACTCCAAAAACATTCAGATTTTAGAAGTGGCTACTTTTTCGTTTTGACTAGTTTACTTATTTTAATAAAATATGAAAGGTGCCATAAGGAGCTTAGTAATTTATTATTGTAATGTGAATACAGAGTGAAATAGACGTTATACATTTATTTTATGAAATGTTATCTAACTCGTGGGAATTCATTATCCTCTAAGATCACCTAACTAATTTGATAATAAAGGTATGGACCTGTATAATGCTTAAAAGCCAAGTTTAACACTAAGTTAAGGTCTAATTCCTGTTTTGAATATGAAATTACATATTATCTAATAGTCGATGGTCACTCCAAGATACTCGTA